CCGAGGCGAGGTTGCTCAATGTACCCCCTCCCTGTCAAACCCAATGGATGGGGGTTAAGTATTTAAAAAAAAATTCTTTATGTTTTTTACTTTTGTATCACTTTTTTATTTATTCTTTTTACTTTTTACATTTTTTATTTATCTTATTATGTTTTACTTTTTTATATATTTTTTTAATCTTACTTTAGGATAAAACATCGGGGGGGCAGACCTGCAGGCTGCATACAAGTGATCTTGGTGATATCGAAGAGATCACTTGTACAAAATGAGTCCGCTCTACATTTAGCTCTGCTTGCCCAAAGCAGAGCTAAATGTAGAAAAAACTACCCGCCCGGCACCCGGAACTGCATGTGCAGTGCATTGTGAGTGACATCACGTTCTGGCTCCTGGCAGCTCTACAGGGAGTGCTGGGGAGCTGTACAAGCAATGCACATATGGATGGAGCTTCATCACAGCACAGCAACCCACACTGGACCCCTCAGAATTTTTTTGGGAGTGTGTATGTGTGTGTGAGAATGTCTCTAAGATTGTGTCTGTGGTTGTGTGTGTCTGTCAGTGTTTTACCACGCAATCACACCTACTGTTCATTCTGGTGCGGGTAGTGCAGGAGGTGCGTTGCATTGCAATTCATTTGAAAGGCACCCCAAACACATCTCCCGCCCACAGTTTGATCGCTTGTATCGGAACATGCAGTAGCGCAATGCCGTGCGTTCCATTGCGGTGCGTCTTAGGTCGCGACTTAATGACCAAGGACAAATGTGGGTCCTGAGGTTATACAGGTTGAGAAGCACTGGTCTAGAGCAGTGGTTCTCAACTCGTGGGTCGCGACCCAAAAGTGGGTCGCGACACCCTCTGCAGTGGGTCGCGGCGTCATGTCTGAATAGACCGGCCTGAGACTGAATAGAGAGGGGGAATTTGTGGTTCAGCCTGTGGAACCTCATGTCAAACTGTCCCCTCTCTCCCGGCCTCCCCCAGGCTCTCCGATAAAGTGGTATGGCCCGGGGAGAGAGGGGACTATTTCCTCACTTTCGGCCGGCGCATTAATATCAGGAGCTGCGGCGCCCGACAATTAAGTTAAAGTCCGTGTTCAAAATGTTCATATATATATATTGCTGAATACTGCACAAGTTGTTTTGTGTAATAAATTTAAATGTTTCAGAAATGAAATCATTTTTGGGTCACGCCTTAATGACCAAGGAAACATGTGGGTCCCGAGGTTACACAGGTTGAGAAGCACTGGTCTAGAGGGTGAATCAGGGTGGCCAGTAGTGTTGGCGCATAAAATGATGCTGGTATGGAGACATAAGATCAAATGCTCTAACCTAGGAGTAGGCAACCTCAGCACCCCAGCTGTGCTAAAACTACAAATCCCATCATGCTTCTGCCTGTATGAGTCTTACAATGCCTCATGGGACTTGTAGTTCCAAAACAGCTGGATTGCCAAGGCTGCCTATCCCTGCTCTAATCCATAGCAACCGAATTGGTCGCAAACCGAATCAAACTGTGATCAGACCGCGATACTAGAGAAAGTCACGACCATGTGTCAGAGCAGGGAAGATGGCTGCGGTTGTGTTCGTCACCCGATACGGAGTTTGGGAACGGAAGCAAAATGTTGCCGAACTTCCTGTTCGCGAACAGAATTGTTCGCAAACAGAAGCGTTCATGAACCGAGGTACTACTGTATAGACAGTGGGGAGTGCGGTGATGTGCACAACAGACATGTGCACCGGCAAAAAAATTGTTTCTTTAGGCTTTGATTCGGATTTTGCGCTATTTCGTTTTTCAGGATTCGGGTCGGAAAGTCAATTAGTTTTGGAATTCGGACGAAATTCGTTAGAGGCACTCTGGATGAAATTTCGTTTAGTTTCGTTCGTTGCAGCAAAGTGACATTTAAGAGAAAAAAAAATGTTTCCCCCTCAAATGGCACAAACAAAATTTTGTACAGACTACCGCTAACGAATTTCCGAATTTCCAAAATTTCGTCCGAATTTCGATTCGGAACGAAATGAATCGCACATGTCTAGTGCACAATACAGTCATTGTTGGGGGTCAGACTCACCAGGGTTTCTATTAGGGATGCACCGATACCGGTATTTTGGTACCGAGTACGAGTACCGATAATTCTTTTTCGGTACTCGCCGATACCAATTACCGAATAACGGAAGTCCCATTCAGGAAGCCAGGTGGCGTGTAATGACTCGCCACCTGGCTTCCTGATTAGCAGGGAAGCCGGGCAGCATGTAAAGAGTCGCCACCCGGCTTCCCGATTAACAAGAAATTCCCCTCTTACCTTAGTATGTGCAGCCTGTCATCCCCTGGGGCCTCTCCAGCAAGAACGCGGCCTTCGTCCGGTACCCAGCCGGAGCCGTCTAGCCGGCCAATCAGGAAGCCGGGCGCCGTGTAATGACGCGACGCCCTGCTTTCTGATTGGCCGGGAGGCCGGCTCCATGCTCTCTTGTCATGAGATGACGAGGGAGCATGTAGCCAGCTTCACGGCCAATCAGAAAGCAGGGCGTCGCGCCCGGCTTCCTGATTGGACGGCTCGGGCTGGGTACCGGACGAAGGCCGCATTCTCGCTGGAGAGGCCCCGGGGGAAGACAGGCTGCACATACTAAGGTAAGGTAACCTTACCTCACGAGGCAAGCTTCCGGTTAATCATGAAACCGGGCAGCGTGTAATGACTCGCTGCCCGGCTTCCTGATACCGGAAGTACTCGTGCTAGGCATCGGAGCATTTGGGCGAGTACTTGCCCAAATACTCGGAATCGGCACCGATATCGATACTAGTATCGGTATCGGGGCATCCCTAGTTTCTATCCAATGCACACTGCACCTGAGATGTCCTTTAAATGAAAAACACATTCACTGTTAGAATTTCCATCCAATTTTTCGGCACTGCAGTGATTTGACCCCATTAACTATTAGAAAACCGAACTTACATTAGGAAAACTATTTTATTCTAACAAAATGTTACGTCAGTCCTCTGGGAAAGAGATTAAAAGGAGAACTCCGGTCAGAATAAAACTTAAAGTGACATTAAACCCTCAGATTTTTTTAACATAAACCAATACTGTAATGTGTGCCTTACTGTAATCCATGGTTGTTTCCCTTCTCTTTGCTGCTCTTCCTTTTAAATCTGTATCTCTTCTCATGCTTGGGGAGAACTTCCCTTTGCAGCAGACTGCCTTGTCTCTGAAATGGATACATGGTGTCTGTGTATAGGTTCACAACCTGAGCCAGCACTACAGGAAGAGGCAATCAGCTGCAAAGGGAAGTTCTCCCCCTAGGAGAGATCTGCTTCATCAGCTTCTCACCGGCATCTGTAACCGGAGAGTGACACTGAATGCAGGAAGTGATATAGTAATAGACATCACTTCCTGCATTCGGGCACCAGAGAGGAGATCAAAGGGAGATTGTGTACTGACCTCCCCTGAGAGCGTCGCCGTGCTGGTCCCAGCCGCACCGGGCACAGACGCGTTCCCGCTCCTATAAGGCTCCCGTCTGGCCGTTCAGGAACGGCTATGGACGGGAGGTGGTTAAGGCATGAGGCCTTATGTGTAAAGGCGGCATGCTGCAGGCTAAGATTCCTATACTTTGCAGCACCTTCCACACATAGCACCCATCTTTTTAATCATTTACACTCCCAGGGCACTGTGTAAATGATCATTTTCCCGGAGTTTGGCTTTAAAGTGAACCTTTACCCCCTTTAACTAAGAATCACCTCAGCATGCAGCTCTGCATAGTGATATAAGACCACACATACGGGGACACTGGGGGCCCATTCACATTCTATGCATTCACGCTGTGCTGGATGGTTTTTTGCAAGACAAGGCAATTTGCCTTATGACGAGCGGGCACAGTTCAAACCACTGTGTTGTGGTTGTGTGCGCTTATAACAAGTACGGCACGCAGTACAACCGCATCGCACCGCAGTGTGCCCATAGTTTAATAAAATGTCACTTGTGGGCAACTGCTTGAGATTGTGTCTGCTCCATTTTTTATAAATTCCCCCTCATAGTGTGTGTCAGAAGCCCGTCTGGTCACCTTTTCTCATTTATTTGATATAATACACATGCCAGACCATGAAGAGGAACCTCTGAGGAAGAAAGAGGGACAGAGGGAAATGCTTCTAAAGGAGGGACTGTCCCTTCAAATGATAGTGTCCTATTGGGGAGATTAACCTCCACTTCCTGTCCCATATCCACAACAGGAAATGAGAGGAAATCCGTGGTTGTCACCAGAGGCGTGTCTGGTTCCTTAGCCAAGCGCCGAGTAGCTTTTCTGCAGGACTTCAGTTCGCTGCAGCAGCTTCACTGACTGCGTCGGCTGCACAGTGCTCAGCAAAATGGCGGAGGGTAATATTTTTGACTAATAAATACCATTTTCTAATGAATGTTTGGTGTGCTCGGCCACCAAAACATTAAATTGTAGGTTCCCACACTGAATTGATTTACTCCATCAGTAAATCAACTCTGTCACACTCGGCGCTCTGCATCCACATTCACTTCCGCTGCGAGTGCTAAGTTAGCAGTGCTGAGCGCTGACTTGCAGCACAGCGTTCAGTGGCGGTTTGCTAACTCAGCACTCGCAGCGGCTGAGCAAGTGAACACCCTCAGAACTAGTGTCCCCATTGGAAGATTTTCCCTCTATTCCTGTTTTGGTGACAACGGTCCCCAGGATAAATACAAAGGGGGTGAATCTCCATGGAGGGAGCACATTTAACAATGAAAACCTGACAGGGGACCTAATCCCTCTCCACTCTACCAGATCTAACAGATTGGGCTGTAAACTACAGTCAGAAGCGAGGGGCAGAGGATTTGGTTCTAAATAAAGGACAGTCCCTGCACATGAAGGACAGTTGGGAGCTCTCGCAGTAAATTAATATTCCAGCAGGAACGAGCCTGGGAATGACTCTGACAACGAGGCGATGTGTGACATGCGAAATGTCATGCCGCCCCCGGCACACATCGCCTCATCATCCCGGTCCCTGGCACCGAGCGTCACTGTCACCTTAACAACAGCCGGCGCTCTGCGGACCCCGGTCACATGACACGGCGCCGCCATTTTGTCTTCGGAGCGAAGTGTGAGGTAAAAGGAGAAGAGGGGAGAGGAGCCGGACAGGAAGAGAGAGAGAGCTGAGAAGGAGAGGAAGAGGTGACTGAGGCTCTCCTTCCGGACCGGCTCATCTGACAACGACTCGTCCTGGTATTCGGTGGCAGGGTGAGGGGAAGCCGGTGGCAGACGTGAGCTCCAGTGACAGCTCGTTCCCCTAGGCCCGGCGGAGGATCAGCACGGAAGATGTCAGGCCAGTCTATCACAGACCGGATCACGGCGGCTCAGCACAGTGTCACCGGATCGGCTGTGGCCAAAGCCGTGTGTAAATCTACGACCCATGAGGTGATGGGGCCCAAGAAGAAGCACCTGGACTGTAAGTCATACATAATGTTGTCTGTGGCAACTGACAAGCTGCTAGGCCCATCGGTTTCGGCGATCGGCCGAATACACGGCGGTGTCAGGGCGACCAATGAGAGGAGCCTGACCTCAGAGAGATCATACAGTGCATACACTGCTGGTGCTGCCGTCCAGTGCATACACTGCTGGTGCTGCCGTCCAGTGCTCGCTGCTGGTGCTGGCGTCCAGTGCTTGCGCTGCTGGTGCTGGCGTCCAGTGCTTGCGCTGCTGGTGCTGGCGCCCAGTGCTTGCGCTGCTGGTGCTGGCGCCCAGTGCTTGCGCTGCTGGTGCTGGCGTCCAGTGCTTGCGCTGCTGGTGCTGGAGATCAGCGGATGATTGGACAGTCTGTCACATGATATATTGTTGTATATAGAAAGCAGCGGCACTTTCCCATGCTCCAGGTTTCATACATGTTCCCCTTATGTCTTGGTGTCAGTTCATGTATGTGCAAAACAGAAAACATAACGCAGTATAGAGAAGAGTGCGACTACCTACAGATGCTCAATGAATAAATGGATAATAATACTAGATAAACAGAAAACATGGTCACCAGCACTCCAAGTTTTAGCACCATACGTGATCTTATGGGACTCACCATGTCATATGGGAAATCGCCATGCGTGGTGCTATGACCTGCAAGAATGAATAAAGGGATTTTGTTTTGAAGAAAACTTGGAGTGCTGGTGACCATTTTATTCTGTTTTACAAGTATTTAGTAGCGCCATCCGTGGCCAATCCAGCACCCCACACCCCCACATTATATGGGGCTTCACGGTCTGGAGTGTGGTGGGACTCCATTTGATAGTTCATGTATGTTGCCATGTATGTGTGCACACTCTTATCTGTCTTTACTATGACACATTTGTGTATATCTCGTGTCCTGTGTACTATATTGGTGTGTGGAACAGTAACCTGTTGTATCTGGACACAAATACCTGGTGATCCTGCCAGTCCCTCATCCACTTGTCCAAACTGACCACATGAAGCATGGGATCAGATCATCTGTAGTTCTATCCTTTTATGCTACATTCACATGGATGTCATGGGTCAATCACTGGTGAGAATCTCTAGGATGCAGCGGCAGCTTTCAGATTTGTGCCCTGTGAATATTAATGGCCAGTGCTGCGGTTGTTCATATGTACATACAAATGCCGCCACTGACTGATCCTGTACACAAGCAGTGTGAGTCCATGGAAGGCGATTCTGCAGAGTTTCTGGCCACAACAAATCGGCTGGTTTGTATGCCGACATAGGCCGTAGCGCAGAATAAAGCTGCGCCCGGAGGTGGCATTTAGCTTGCTCTGAACACGGCAAAGTAGCCGCCCCAGATGGCTCATGTGAATGTAGCTGTGCCGAAGTATGGCGTGCCTCTATCTCTGTGGTCAATTTCACAGACACATCATCCCCCTGTCCAGGCAGGGATAGGCTGACCTTGTGAAACACCCGGTAACGGGTGTGTGCAATGGTCGGGTCTTTTCTGCCCGTGCGTGCCCGCCAGCGCGAGCAGAAAAAAAATGCCGTCTGGAGACGGCAACCCGCCAATGCTGCAGTGCCGTCCGTCCGTTTTTTTACAACGGGCGGACGGCAAGAGGTTAAGCCAGAGCTTTGCTGTCATTCTACAATGTACATAGATGGGGAACGTGATTCCCTGCCGTGTGGGACGTCACTAAACCATGTTGCCCAGAAGGGGCACAATTCTGGAGTGCAACGGGCAAAGTACTCCCTCACTGTTTAACCTCACAATCCGCACATCCATTTACAGAACTGACACGTCCCTCTGCTTTATTGTTGGGAACATATGGAAGGCTTGGGCGGTCATGTGACCTCTTCCTTAAAGACTGAGAAAAGGTAATAAATTTTTTTTAATCTATAGATGCAGTTATGGAAAACATAATAATTGCTTAATAGTGGTGACCTTTAGGGCTGCAACCCAATTGATGTCAACTATTCTCATTATCGATTAGTTGGTTGGATCCTCTAGCTCTCTCCTCCATGCTTGGAGGAGGGCACAGCAAGCAGAGGGCGGGTACAAAAGGCAGCCTGCTATTGGCTATTGCAGCAGCCCACTACCCATTTACTTTCAACTGCCTGGCAGCTGTCATTTCCTGATGAAGCTATTCAAGCGCCATGTGCTGACAATACAGTTAATAATAATTAAAAAAAACATTTATAAAAGTTAGGACAAAAATCCTTTTTGGTTTCGGCCTGACAGATTCTGCTGCGGGAAGTGTGTTGCAGTGCCATTCATTTTAATGGCACCCCAAACGTGCCTCCCACCCATAGTGTGATTGCCCGCACTGGAACGAATGATTCCAGCATTGCTGTGCTTTCCAGTGCAGTGTGATTGCAAAAAATTGTGCATGCTGTTTTATTCTGAAGTAAACTTTGTTTGTAACACTCCGTTTGTGTATTTTCTTTTAAATTAAGCATGGTCTGGCTGCAATTGAGCCTGGGGTTTTTTCATGGTGCCACAAAATACATACAGCTACAGGTGTGAAGTATAAATATAAAACCTTCTTTATTTCTTATAACAAGCTAAAAACATATTAAGACACATAGAAAGGCCATATCAAATAGTCAAATCACAGTAGATATGTATATGGTTGCTCATCCCATATCTAATACCCCCATTAAAAAAATAGAGTATGTTATTCCGAGGTCCGATGCATTTCGCACCAAGTGGCTTCTTCAGGAACCTGTGAATTAACATGCGAAACACGTCGACCCTCAGAATAACCTGCCACATACCCTATTTTTTCTGATTCTTATATATAATTATTTTTATTTTTTTAATAATTGTATTTATATTAGACATTTTAATTAGTTTCATGGGTTTAAAATAATGTGAATTTTAAAACTCTAAGCCAATATAATAAAATAACTAAACTTTTATTTAAAATAATACACCAAAACATTTCTATTTTTAATTCTAGTTCATTTAAGTTTATTTTTAAAAAATCCTTTTTTTTAAAAAACTTTATTGCTGGAAGCAATAGCCTGCCTGTTATTGGATATTTCAAATTGCAATAGCAGACTGGCTATTGCACCCGCCCACTTCCTGCTACCAATCAGCAGAGGAGGGACCTAAAAGAGAAAGTTCTCCATCAGGTCTTCCTCTGCTGATTTACAGCAGGCAGTGGGTGGGTGCAATAGCCAGCCTGCTATTGCAATTCGAAATATCCAATAGCAGGCTGGGTATGGCTCCCAGCCTCTAGATGCCGAAAAGGAATGGGGCTGCAGCAGAGGCACGGTGGACCTGGCAGAGGTGGAAAGAGGGCATGGCAGAGACAGAAAGGGGGAGTGGCAGAGGCGGGCCAGAAGAGCAATGGGGTCGGGCAAGAGGAGACTCAAGGCGGCAGCTGAGGAACGGGCCAGGCAAGAGGAGACAGGAGGTGGCAGCAGATGAACGGGCAACACAGAAGCAACCTGGCAGTAGCGAAGGTATGAGGAGGGGGGCAGCGGGGGAAGAGTCTGCAGTCTCTTCGCCACGCTGGTGCCGGTTGCAGTGGTCTGTGTCCCCGCTGCCTCTGCCGACACAATTGGGGAGAGAATCGGGGATTAAAAAGCAGCCTGCACCAACGGGGAGGAGCGGAGAGGCAGCAACTAATCATAAAACAACTAATCGATGATGAGAATCGTTGCCAACGATTCTCATTAGCAATTTTAATCGATTTTAATTGATTAGTTGTTACAGCCCTAATGACTTCAATGCAATACATGTACCCACTCAGAAGCCTAACCAAAAATCTTCCATAGCTATCTGTACCGTCCTGTCCTTTCGCTAGGATGCTGTAGTCATTGGACACTCACAGCAGCATCACTGGAGCCAGCACACTTCCTCAGGAGCAAATGGCCTACAGGTAACATAGCATTGCCATTATTCCACATTTATAAAAGCTGCACAGTCTTTTATTACCTCCTTGACCACTTAGGCTGTTTTCTTTGAAAGGTGATCTTGGCCTATTAAATACATTGGTTCAGGAGCACAATGTCTCTGGAAAAAGATCTTGACATATTATTGACAACTATATATCTGTTCTAGACTACAAAAAACAGTACTACTACGGTAGTTATTTATCATAAAAATGGATTTAGTTTTAAGTACAAGTTTACTTTAATCAGATGAAAAGCCATTCCCCTCCCTCCCCTGACATATTGTCAGACACATTCACTGTCGGTGAATGAGGGGTCACCTATGTCTATGTGGTGCCCTCTATTCCCAGTGCAGGTATACATTTTTCTCAAAATGCCTATCCCAGTTATGTGCGTGCTATGTCACCATGAATTTGCTGCTATCAGTGCTTCCACCTAAACAGAAATGTTCTGCCCGTGCTTATCTCTAATGCAATGAGTTAGTTTGTATGTTAATCATAGTTTGCTATGTTAATATCCTGGTTCATTAGAAGCACAGTTCTCTTCTCTGACAAAAGTTTTCTTTTACAGCTCAAAATAGTATTAATAAAAGAAAACAATATTATGCAATTATTTTATCCTGTATGTACATTACTACACATTCCTGTGAGGCCATATTGCATTATCGAAGACTGCTTTACATTATGCTGTTATCAACTTTATTTATTAAAAACAAAAATCAGGTGAATATTCACTTTTTAAAGTTTAACTCCAGGTATACAGTATTCTGTCTAGTTACGTTGGTTCAGCTTGACCTGATCTAAGTATCCAAATGTCATCCCTGATCGGCTGCTGGGGGTCACATATAGCACTGAGTAGTCACTGAAGCAACTACAATGCTGGCAGAGATATTCCGGATCCTGTATGGTCCTGCGCTGAGTGACTATCCCTCTGCTGTGAAAATATGGGGTCGCTCACTCGGCACATCAGCCATTTGGAGGGCACCTAGTAATCTTATCAATGAGTACAAGGCATCCTCTGATTGTACATGACCCCCAGAAGCTGATCAGGTATGACATATGCATACTTACATCGGCTCAACTGACCCGATGTACGTATGCAAAA